ATTTTAAAAGCATTAAGAGAAAAGCAGTTATCTACAAGGGCACTCCCATAAGGTTGTCAGATGATGTTTCAACAAAATATGCAGGTTGGACGGGATTGGTAGGAAATATTCAAAGTGATGAAAAGCAAGGACCACCAAGATTATTCTGCCCAGCAAAGCAGTCATTTAGAATTGAAGGACACATAAGTTTCCCTGACAAGAAAAGGCTAAAGGAGTTCACTACAAAGCCAGTACTACAGGAAATGTTTGAGGGACTTCTTTAAGAAGAAGAAAAAAAGATTTTAAAAAATGTAAATGATAAAATGGCAATAACTACATATCTATCAATAATTACCTTAAATATAAATGGATAAATGCTCCAGTCAAAAGATAGGGTGGCTGAATGGATAAGAAAGCAAGACCCTTACATATGTATGCTGTCTGCAGGAAACTCACTTCAGATCCAAGGACACACAGACTGAAAGTAAAGGAATGAAAAAAGATGCTTCATGAAAATAGAAACAAACAGAAAAGCTGGGGTAGTAATACTTATACCAGACAAAATAGACTTTAAAACAAAGATTATAACGAGACAGAGAAGGACCCAGTTATCCCACTTCTGGGTATTTATCTGAAAAAATCCAAACATTACTTCAAAGGGACATGAGAATCCCTATGTTCTCAGCATTATTTACAGTAGTCAAGACATGGAAGCTGCTGGGTGTCCACCAATGGATGACTGGATAAAGGTACATATATACAACGGAATATTACTCAGCCAACATTTAAAAAATGAAAATTTGCCCTCTGCAACAACATGGTTGGGCCTAGAGGTTATTGTGCTGAGTGGAGTGGAATATAGTGGAATTGTCATGCTGTTTAATTAGACCCCATAATTTAGGCCTTTGCTTAAAAAATGACGAAAATTTTCTCCAAGTACATAACATTGTATGACTTAAATACTATTCCACTGTCCTGAGCAGTGACAGTCATTCTGTGACCTAGGGGCTATATACAGCAGCTCCTTAGCAGTTTATGTGCAGAATTTGAAGCATACTTGAAGACAGTAATTGCTATAACAAATTGTGTTGGTCCCACATTAAAAATAAAATTAAGATATTTGAAAAATCTAAAGTAATATAACACAAAGAATATATTTAAACAAGCAGAGTTGCAGAAATATTTTCAGGCCATGTATTAGCATCTGAATATCCCTATCATGTGATAGTGGAAATGGTCTATAGATTCAAAGAAACATTGAGTTTAAAAATAACTTCTTGAAAATATACTATGAAACCTACTTTAGGAGCCCCAAAGTAGAAGATCATTATAAGTGGAAAGGAAAAATCAAACTTTACCAGACTGGAAGATTACCATTGCTGTCGACCTCAGGTAAAGAGAGTTGTGCTTTCTGTTTCTGGCTGGTATTGCTCCCCTGGAATCTTTCTGATTTATTAACACATTTAAATCAAGAATTTCTATATTTTTCAGAGTATGAAAATAAATTCTACTAGTTTAAAATTTATCAGTCTTTCAAATAGAAAGCAGTTATTTTTCATTACCTCAGATAGTTAGAAATAAAAATAGGAAAAAGCCTCTGAGGGTGTTTATTAAAATGTCAGTGATAAGTTTGCAATATTGTCACAAACTAAGAGATAAAATTAAGATTACAGAAATTATAGCATGTTTTTTGATGGAAATGATCCAATAGAGAGGAACATTAAAGATGCAAGGAAGAGTGCTAGAGTAAGCAAGAGAGGATAAAATCTAGTATACAAGAGAAGGGATTTGTCTTATGAACAGTGATTTATTCAGAAAACAGAGAAAGAAGAATTATATGGGCATAGATACATAAAGGGTTAGATATGGTAGACATTGGTGGAAATTCTCTTGTTTGAGTGAAAGTGAGAATGAAAGGGGAGATATTGAAAGCTTGAGAGAACAATCACACTTGTCTGATGTTTTTCAGAATGAGAAAATGAACGGGCCACTGTTGCTAGACTGCTCTTGAACCAATTTTAAGTATAAAAGATTTATAAAGTAAAATTATTTCTGTTCACAGATGACAGGATTTTATATGTATACAACCCTTGATTCCATACACACAAAAAGAACAATTTACAGCTAATAAGCAAGTTCAGCAAAGTTGCAGGATATAATATCAACACTCAAAAATCAGTTGCATTTTTATGCACTAACAATGAACAATTCAAAAAGGAAATTAAAGCAGTTCCATTTACAGTAGCATCAAAAGGAATAAAATGCTTATGAATAAAATTAACCAAGATGGTGAAAGAGTTCTATACTGCAAACTATAAAACATTGCTAAAAGAAATTAAAACACAAATAAATGGAAAGACATCCCATGTTTATGTATTGGGCGTCTTAATATTGTTAAGATGAAAATACTACCCAAAGTGATCTACAGATTCAGTGCAGTCTCCATCAAAATCCCACTGACTTTTTTGTGAAACTAGAAAAACTCATCCTAAAATTCATGTGGAATTTCAGGGGACATCAAATAGCCAAAACAATATTGAAGAAGAACAAAGTTGGAGACCTCACACTTCCTGGTTTCAAAACTTAATACAAAGCCATAGTAATCAAAGTGTAGTTCTGGCATAAATCAGACATAGACAAATAGAAAGACCTAAAGGTCCCAGAAATAAAATCTTGCATATATGTTCAAATGATTTTTGAAAAGTGTGCCAAAACCCTTCAATGCGAGGACAGTCTTTTTAACAAATGTATTGAGAAAACTGGATATCCACATGCAGAAGACTGAAGTTGGACACTTATACCATATATAAAAATTAAGATGGATCAGAGACTTAAGCATAAAAACTAAACTCTTGGAGGAAAACAGAGAAAAGCTTTATGACATTGGACTTGGCAATGATTTCTTGGATATGAAACCAAAAGCACAGGCAACAACAACAACAAACAAAAAGATAAATTGGACTTCATCAAAATGTAAAACTTTTGTGCTTCAAAGGACACTATCAACAGTGAAAAGGCAGCCTATGGGAGAAAATACTTGAAAATTACCTGATAAAGGATTAATATCCAGGATATGCGAAGAATTCTTATAACTCAACAAAAACCCAGTTTAAAAAATGAACAAAGGACTTGAATATGTACATTTCTCCAAAGAAAGTACAGAAATTGCCAATAAACACAAGAAAAGTTGCTCAACATCACTAATTCAGGGTATGAAAATCAAAACCACAATGAAGTACCACTTCACACTCATTAGGATGGCTATTATCAAATAAGAAAATAAATGTTGGCAAAGATGTAGAGAAATTAGAACCCTTATGCGTTGCTGATGGAAATGTAAAAAGGTACAGCTACTAAGAAAAACATTTTGGCAGTTCTTCAAAAAATTAAAAATAGAATTACCATGTGATTCAGTAATACTACTTTTGGGTATATGATTCCATTTATATTAGATACCTAGAATAGGCAAAGTCATAGAGACAGGAAGTAGAATGGTGCTTTCCAGGGGCGGGGGGATGAGGGAATGGGCATTAGTATTTAACTGGTACAATTTAAATTGGTATAGATAAAAAGGTCTGGAGATGGAGGGTAGTGGTGGTTCTACAATGTGAATGGACTTAATGCCATAGACTCCACTTTAAAATGGTAACATTCATGTTAAGTGTGTGTAACCACAATTTTAAGAAATAAAATAATAATACATTCTTTCTATGAAGTTTTCTTAAGTTTTTTAAAACCGACTATTTGCATTTTACAGTATTCACATTTATTTCAAGAATAGTACATTGGCTTAGTTTATATAGACTTAGCAAAAAGGAAGGATTGGAACTGAAATGACCCACTGATTTCTTCTTGATTTTGAAATAATCATTCATTTGATTTTGAAATAGTCATTTAATGTACACATCCCCTGTGTGGGGGCAAAGAACAATATGTATTCCTGAAAAATTATTTGTTTCATGGTTTTGTATCTTATCTAAATTATTTTAAATTCTTTCTGGGAAGGAATTCTGTCTGGTACATTAGTGTAACAATTGGGACAGTGGCTGGCACATAGTAGGTATTCAATAAAATACTTGTTAAATAAAAAATATATGTATAAATTGTGTATATTTGAAAATGTCATTTTTACACTTTTGTAAAGTGGGTGTGGTTTTTGTCTGGAAAGTGGGTTTGAGAAGGGAGGGTAGCCTAAAGGACAGTTTCTTGATATAATTGATAAGTACAAGTATTATGTGTTTCTTACGTCATTGCGAACATTTACTATGGTTACAGATTGAAAATTGTTCAGAAACTTAATAGAGTAATATGTGAAACAGGTTGCTCAGATGAGATTAGTTACATAGATTTTTCAATAATGGAGAAAATTCACAAAAAATTAATGTAGAATATGACAGTTGCACTTTGTATAAACAACTAGATATTAGAAGGGGTGGACAAATTTCAGTGCAATCACCTTATTCTGTAATAGAAGTGTTGTACCTTTAGCATAGCCATTTTAATGGTTGAGAAAACAGCAGAAGAGGTTGTCAGGGCTTGAGATAGAGTGGTAGCAGTTTTCTGGTGTCTTTTAGAGAAGTAATTTCATTCTTAAATCAGTGGAAACTTTAGAAGTATACTTCCTTTCCTGGTGAAGAGTAGAGACAGTTAGGGGATAGGAAAATCAAGAACCACAGGATTCCTGTTTTATTTCTTATCTCTGGATATAAAGTTAACTCATCGTTCCAAGGCTTCATATTCCAGAATTACTTATGTAAAGTGATATCCAACTTTGACAGAATAACTATTCTAATAGGGAGATAAATGTTGAGAATAAAATAATGTTTAGGTTTTTTAAACATAAATTAAGAGAAAATTGGTTTGCTTGTGGAATCTTTTGTATATTTTTACTTTATTTAGTATTAAAATATTTCATGTGACTTCTAGTCTTTTTCTTTAAAAGTATATTTTCATTTTGCTAGCTTGAGTTTATTGAAACTGAGCTCTTGTGTGTCATTTCTTATTTTTCCCTTGACATGAAGTCCTCCCTACTTAATGAAGATGTCTTTTGAAAGATGTGTTTCAAGGAATGAAGTGCCGTTTGTAATTTATGCTTTTGCCAAGGTAAAGATCAAATTTTATTAATTTACTTTTTATAAAAAAGGAAAAATAATTTCATATATTATATTCAAAAGTTTGATTAAATATTGTAACTATTATTAAGTTAAAACAGGAAAAATGCTTTTCCTCATATTATATATCTTTGTGTTCCTTACCTGTGACATTGTGCTTGGCATGTAGTAGGCTTTCTTTAAATATTTGATATAGAAATGAATTTTATTATCCCACCTAAAAGCTTCTAAGAAATAACTAACTGCATACATGTCAATGTTATAATCTTTAAACATATGAGTTTTTTAATGGATTTATTCTTTCAAAAGAAAAAAAAATTTTTTTATTTTTAGGTACTAATGTGTGTTTAAAAAAATAAAACCTTGGAGTAAAGTAGCAGCACATAATGGTTTGTGGGTTTTGAAAAGGTGCAGGCCATATTGTGCTGCCTCAAAAATACAAGGATCTGATCTTCTGAAGAAAATGTATTTCTTTTCATTCGTAGCTCTTGTGATAGTGATGTCAGCAGTGCCTTAGCAGCACGTAAATATTGGCGTTAAGATTTTTAAATTATCTCCAGTATTAACTGTGCTGCTGAAGTAAGGTTGACCATATTCTACAGTCATATTTTAATACATGTTAATATTATTAATGTACTTTCAGTTTTATAGGTAATGTATTGTCAGTATTATTGATCTTATTATGTTTGGTATGATTCAATAAAAAAGTCCTAACTTTTCAGATGTATTGTGTATATTGAATAATATAATTGCTATTTAATTGTGTTAAATGCTATCAAGAGTTTATTGAAAGAGTTTATACAACATCAAATAAATTTATTATAATGCACACTTATACTCAAGGTAAATATTTAGATTTTTATTTATGGTTAAACAGAAATGACTTGTTTTCCATTTCACTAGTAAAATGAAATTAATTTGCTTATTTCACAGATAAATGTATGTTATAAAATGTACATTTTTAATAGAATTTAGAAGACTAGTAACACTTATAATTATTTCCTTATAAGGGAAGGAGCAAAGTATCAAAAATTGGGAATTAAATTTCTGAAATCCTGGGTCTCAGAGTACACTTAATCATAATTTTAAAGGTAGGATCTTAACAGATGACTAACCTATTCCTAGGGTAGCTCAGAAAACAAACTCAAATTAAGTAATTTGCTACACACAACAGATTAGGACCTTAATCCTATGCCTTCTAACTATACTCTCATATCATTTTTTCTTGTTTTTATTAAAATATTTTAAATCTTTAGCTGAAGATTTTTGTTTGACAAGTTGAAAATATGAAGGCCTTGTTTGCTTTTTTATATTCTAATATTTAACTTCAGAGTAAGGCCAAAAATTTTTGTAATTATTAATTTTATAGATGCAGCAGTCAAAATTTTTAATTTAATTAAAATGTGAAGAAAAATATTTACCTTCTATTTTTTATTTGGTGTTTTATTTAAAAAAATTTATTTGGTGTTTGATTTAAATTTATTAAATCGAACTAAAAATTGATGTTCAGGATAGGACGACTTTGTAGTTCCATACTTCTAGTCTTATTTCTTGCAAGGAATATCTTACCCTTTTCTATTGTAACCAAGCAAAAAATCTACAAAAGAAAAGCAGTTTTTAATGAATCATTATAGTTGTCTATTTTAGAAACCCTAAGAGTATACCCAATGTAATTTAAGGAATTGTATTCAAAGATCATCTGTTTGCATTCCAAACTGAAGGTAAAGAAAATATAAGACAGAGCTCTCATTTTTAAGAACAATCTCACTTTTTTACTAGCACATTTTTTTTTCCCCAAAAAAATAAAGAAGCAATACACCATATTGCTAGAATCAAATGCCAACTCTTAAATGGAAATAACATTGCCTGGTGCTTTTAAAAATCGTTCATTAAGCTCTTAACCTGTTTCCTTTATTTCATATCAACTGTTTTATGAAAGACTGTAATAAATACATGATAATTTTTGGTTCCACTAAAAATATTCTGGGATCTAGCATATAGATGCTTAGAAGTAGTTATTTGAATGAATTACATAATTTGTCCAATATTTTCCAGAACAACCCGGGAGTTCGACTTTCGGTTTTGTTCTTGTTTTCCTAAATTTATTTGAAGTCAGTTTTAGAAAATTATGTTTGGTCTAATCTGCCTTCTAAATGACAGAGAGAACTTGAATTTTACATTTACTAAGTGAATCTTTATATTTTGGTGCTCTAGGTACATTGTAAGAGTTAATATATTTCTATCTTTGTGTAATTTTGGAAACCATAAACAACAAATAGTAAAATAAAACAATCTTAATTTAGCTGTTTATTTTGCAAGGAAGTAGTTATATATGGGTGTATATTGTTATCGTGTTTTCCATCTTTGGGAAAAAATCCTGCTGTTTGATTCAGGTTTCTTTTTAAGTTGATGCCAAATAATTCCAGTATTGAGCATCTTAAATCTGCTGTTTGGAGTATGGATTGAGTTTGTAGCTAACTCAGGACTGCAAGCAAGTATCCAGGAGATAGAGGAATATTTTATTAGTTCACCAATTCAATTTGCATCCTATATTCAAATGCAAACTTCTTAAGATTACACATATTCATATGTGATAGTAGATTTGAAAATTTGGCAATAGACTATATTTCATACTTAATAGTAAACATATTCTTCAATTAATATATTCTTTTGGTTGTTATAGAATTATAAGTGTTTTAGGCCACTATCATTAATACATGCTCAGGTTAGCCATAATTGGATTCAGATTATACTTTCAGAAACCAAGATCTCTAACGTATTTATTTATTTAGAAGTTGACATTCTAAATCAATTTTTTTTTCTTTTACAGGTGGATATTTCTATCCCTTATTCATGGGAAAAAAAATTTAAGTGTTGTATCTCACTATTAACAAAAATTAAGATCCTAGACTTTTGAGATAGATTTGGCTCCAGTAAGTATTTAGACATATTACTTGCATATTTAGGAGAAGAAAAAGAGACCATCATCAGTACATTTTCAGCTAGAAAAACTTATTTTCTTACCTCTTATCAAGAGAAATTTTAGTTTCTGTTTTATTACTAATATTACGTGAGCCTTTTTAATACAGAATTAACTCCTCTATTAGAAATTTAAGAGTTTATGTTCTTTATTTATAAAATATATCCCATAGATTTCTGTCTTTTTTTTTTTTAATTACATGCAATGAAGGAAATATTGGCAAAATAAATAGATTTAAACCTTTTATGTTAAAATTATTGTACTAGGTGACAAATTAGTTGTCGGGGGTTTTTTTCTTTATTATACTGAAATTCAACATTTATAATTTCTGTTTGGGTTTGGTGATTATTAATACATGGAATTCATGCAAAATCTTCATGAGTAATACACGTAGATTAACTTATTAATGAGCACAGGTCCTCAATTCTATGGGACTCTGAATAACCTGATATTTATTATTTTCTTGTGATTAGACTTTTGTGTTGTGAAAAAATGTAAACTCTCTGGAAAATCTTGTTATTATATTTATCTTATACTGTAGAGTTAGATTTTGTTTGAGAAACTGCTGAGAAAAAATTTTTAAGCCACTTTTATACTAAATGTTCCTTTAATTAATTTGCTGTTAAGGTATTATGTATATCTTTGTTTTATAATTTAACCACTTAGTATGGATTATTCTATTAACAAATATCTTTAGGAAGTGGTAGAAATTTTTAAATCACCCCAAAGTTTGTTTACTTCTGTGTCTCATTATTTTATAATTTGGGGGAATGCTTATATTTATAGAAGTAACATTCAAGGATATAAGTTTTTATAGTACCACTAAAACTTTTTTCCTCTGGATTTAATGCATATGATAGTAAACTATAGGGTAACTTTTTTTTTTTTTAAACACCTACAGCACCTGGTATTTCTAGGTGGTCTCCCATGCAAGTACTAACCAGGCTCAACCCTGCTTAGCTTCTGAGATTGGGTGCGTTCTGGGTGGCATGGCTGTAGACTATAGGGTAACTTTTTAATTAAGTTTCCATTTGACCAGTTAAAAATACCATTTTAGCCCAAAGCAATGAAATAGAGTATTTGTTGTATAGTAGTAAACATTAAGACGGTTTAAGTACATAATTTTTTAAGAGAATTTGTAAATTCTAACATCTACAGATTTTTGTTTTTATTTGTTTATATTTTCATGACTGTATTTTCTGGCAGTGTGAAAATGCTAATGTTTAAAAAGGAGCATTAAAAATATATTTGAAACATACAGAAATAAAGGTACAAATTTATTCTACTGTGTAAGTACCGAGGATCAGCACTGAACAAAACATAAATTCCAACCCTCCCGGAGCTTACAAACTTAGGAGTGAGGTGTAGGTAACAGGATAGACAAAAAACTGATAGGTACTGTATGTGGCATGTCAGAAGATGAAAAGTTCTATAGAAAAAGATAAAGCAAGGGATGTGGAAGAGATAGTATAAAAGTTTAGGAAGGCACAAGAGGTGTGTTTTTAAATAGGATCAGAAAATCCTCAGAGGAGATATTTGAATAAAGACGTAAAAAACAATAATGGTGCAAGCCATTAGGTATCAGAGAGGATCTTTTCAGACAGACAATATACAGCACTACAAAGACCTTGAGACTGAAGCAGTTTTGGTATGGTTAAGGAATAACAAAGAGGTCTAGGTGGCTATGATCAATTATACTAAAGGGGAGAATCATTGCTCATAGGATCAAAGAGTTTACAGAGGCCACATCTTATAGCTGTCTAAGCTTTTAGCTAAATCTACAGATTTAATTTTTCATTACTTTAAGAGAATCTTGACAGTTGCATGTGCTTCAGCCTACCTGACCTTTGTATGTAGAACAGAATATTTTCATGAATCAAACTCAAGGTTAGAAGCTCAATTTGAGACCATTTAGAATATAAACAATGTTTAAATGATTGGTTAATAGGTATATGTGTGATGATCAGGTTTTCACAAATTGTGCTTCAATGGCTCTGAAATTGTTTTCCACT